GGACATACGGCTACAGGGCCTGGTCCTAGGGCCCTTGTATTTGTAAAATCTGCACGAACACAGACGGCTTCCTTGCAAAGCAACCTAGGGCTCGGCCCTCACAGCAGGCGGCCCACCCCGATGGGCCGCCCACATGCACCTCTGCTTTGCCACCTGTTCTCATTAGCAACCCCCCAAACAAGCTTTCTTAGACCCGATTTTCCTAACTGCCACCCCAAACAGCTCTATCATCACGCGACACTGCGCACTGTGTGTCTGTGCTGCACGGCAAGGCCACGCTTACAGTGCCCCCCCAGGCACCCGGGCACGCACGGCACACCACGCGTCCCTCCTCGTCCTCTGGCCCGGCTGCACTTCAGGTGAGCCCTCAGGACCACAGAGGCACCCAGCTGCCACTCCACTGGCCACCTCCAAACCCCCAGGTTCTAGTTTCACTGCCGACTTTCTCCCACAGAAGCTGATCGAGACCATAAACGGTGCGACGGGCAGCCCCGTGGTGAGCGCCCTGGAGCCTGGAGCGAGCCGCGCCCTGCCCAGCTGGGGGCCGCAGAGGACGGTGAGGGCCCGCTGAGCTGTCTCCTCCCTGTGTCGTGTCGGGAGCACCGGGTGCCTACAGGCAGCCTCACTGCCAGGAAACACATCCCAGCAGCCAGAAACCTGTTGTCAGGCCCCGCCCCCTCGCTCGGCCTGACCTCTGGCCCCACATCTCGATTCCAGGAACCCCAGGTTAGGGAGGGCTCTGCAGCTGGTGCAGGCATTCAGAGAGGGACCAGGGCAGGCAGCAGGGGACAGGACGGCTGGACTGGAGTCCCGACCAGGGGACCGCTGCACACGGAGCCCTTTAGAAAGGGGACACCAGTTCCCGCTGGGTTCTCGCCTGCAGCCCCTCTCCACGCCGCCCGGCCCGGCCTCATTAGGAGGGGCACCAGAGGACCCCCAGCTCCCACGGCGCTGGCCCCCAGGGCACCTGCCTTTGTCTGCTTCTCATTTCTCTGCCCTCAGTGTCACCTCTCAGTGGCCCCCTTGTCTAACCGACCCGTCAGCCTGGATGGAGCCCCTGCCCTGCTGTCTCCCTAACCCTCCCCACAGCCTGACGTTACATCTGAAGAGATCGCCCGCTTATCGCGGCCCTCGTTAAAGCTAAGCCTCGGGAGGGCGGGAGGGAGTCCCCGTGTCCGGATGCTGCCGGGCACAGCAGCCCTGGGCCAACAGCTGTCTGACAGGGCGGCTCCCCCGACACTGGGAGTAAATGACCTCCTGTGAGGCCCACGCCGAGGACAACGCACTGACACCCCCTTCTTGGCTCCCC